ACATTCACATATTTGAATGTTATCTTATAAAAAAGTAAAAACAAAGTAAAGTAAATAACTTTTTATTAACGACTGGGGCGACGATGGGGTGATAAAAGTGTTATTTATTGGCTTTGATCATTATTATTTCGTTCTTTTTCACGGAAAATGAAAGTTCAAAAGTTTAACTATTGTTCAGTTGAACTTGTATTAAAATCGTTTGTTTTGCAAATGCTAATTTAAAAACCGAGAGAAATCCAACGGTTGCGCTCTAGGTGCATAGAACGTAATGCGGGTAGAGAGAGTTTTCACACAGGAATATTATTATAAACTAACACACGTCAATTCCGGTTGCAGATAAAAAGGCAATAAACTAGTCGGCCCCTCGCGGAGAAACTAGTTATCAAACATGACGAATGTCAGCGTGATAGCTTCGCATCGTGAACGAAGTATCGTGCCACAATTCAAGACGAGTGAATCCTCCAACGATATCGACAATGTTATCGAGACTATTGAACGTCTTCGTCTAGCGAATCGTCAGGAATCGAGTAATCAGCCCGCCGTGAAAGCGAGCAAAACGAAAGCGCACAAATATCTTGAACAGATCGACGAGTCTAGAACAAAGCTGAACATAGACGATTATGACTACAAACGCGATTCAGCGAGCTCGGTCAAAGGCAAGACCGCAATTCTCGACCGCAAACGTGATTGTAATATACGCGGTGACGATCGAAAGGGTGCGATAGATTACGAACGCGTCCAGAAACACGATGATGATTCCGATTCTAGCGATGACGCTCTCATCGAACGAGGCCCGACGAAATCGCAAAACCTTAAACATGTTCGGAGCAAACCTTACCAAGATAAGGTCGAACAGCAGTTGGACCCGTTTCTGATTAGAGTCACAGAGGAAATTCTGCGCGACAAGGATTGCCGAGAAAAATTGGAGCCTCTCCTTCAAAAGCTGGAAAGGACAAACGGTTACTGGAACGGCAATCAAAACGACTCTCAACCGTACGACGCGAATAGAGACGTGCGTATACCAGTTTCCATAACCGTGTGTCCACTTTTATCGCGTCGCTGTGTGTCGGTTAAACGGACAACGCTTGGAATAATGTGCAACGATAATAGACGTCATACGACGCGATACAGGTGGATATACGTCTTATAAAAGGTTTCTGGGTCTACGTAAACGCGTAAACGAAGTGACTGGATCTTCCGATTGTTTCAGGCCACTGTGACGGCGATAGAAAACGATTTCACAAACGAGTCATCGATATTAGAGGATGTGTTGAATAGTACTTTTCAAGTAGCTCAACGTGTGACGGAGAATAATTTTATTAGCTTGCAGAAAACGATAGAACACAGCGATTGTTTTCTTCAGAACAGTAGCAATATTGCTTCTGGATCTGAGAGCCTTAGTTCGAGTCCTGTTCTATCGCCGGTTTTGAGGATTCCTACCAACTCCCCAAAAACCTTCACGTCGAATATCAACCAAAATTTCGGTTTTTCCTCCGAGGTAAAACTTCATTTTTTTAGTACCATTAATTTTCTTGATATAACTACGAACAAATACAGAGTGTTCCAAAATTAGTGTAAAATATTGAAATGGGAGGTTCATGACGTGATTTTAAACAACATTTTCCTTAGCGAAAAAGTTGTCCGAGGCTTGGTTGAGGAGTTATTAACAAGAAATCTCGACCAATCAGAGCGCTCGGATCCGGACGCTCGGCCTATCAACGATCTATCATTTCCCCATCCATTCCATTTGAATAACGATTAAATATTTATTAATTTCTTAAAGGCCGAGCGTCCGGATCCGAGCCAACGCTCCCGATTCGCAGCTCGCGCCAACCGAGCGC